CCATCTGATGGAGGGGATGGCGGCGTTGATGCTGTCAAACATGTGTATTTGTCATGTTTGTATAGACTGTATAGAGTCACCTCTTAGAGGATACAAAACTTAGATATATTTGTGTGTACTCTCACTTTACCATTATTCAATTATTCTGATATGGTATCACGCGTAGGTAGGATCCCCCCCCCCCACCTACCGCTTCCGCTCATGCCCCCTAGCGCCCCTCCTGGGCCCCGTCGCGCTCCTCCCAGGCCCCGTCGCGCTCCTCCCAGGCCCCCTAGCGCCCCTCCTGGGCCCCATCGCGCTCCTCCCAGGCCCCGTAGCGCCCCTCCTGGGCTTCGTAGCGCCCCTGCCAGGCCCCGTCGCGCCCCTCCTGGGCTTCGTAGCGCCCCTGCCAGGCCCCGTCGCGCCCCTCCCAGGCCCCGTCGCGCTCCTCCCAGGCCCACTAGCGCCCCTCCTGGGCCCCGTCGCGCTCCTCCCAGGTCCCGTAGCGCCCCGTCGCGCCCCTCCTGGGCCCCGTAGCGCCCCTCCTGGGCCACGTCGCGCCCCTCCTGGGCTTCGTAGCGCCCCTCCTGGGCCCTGTACCGCCCTCCCAGGCCCCGTCGCGCCCCTCCCAGGCCCCGTCGCGCCCCTCCCAGTCCCTCTAGCGCCCCTCCTGGGCCCCGTCGCGCTCCTCCCAGGCCCCGTAGCGCCCCGTCGCGCCCCTCCTGGGCCCCGTAGCGCCCCTCCTGGGCCTCGTCGCGCCCCTCCTGGGCTTCGTAGCGCCCCTCCTGGGCCCTGTAACGCCCTCCCAGGCCCCGTCGCGCCCCTCCCAGGCCCCGTCGCGCTCCTCCCAGGCCCCCTAGCGCCCCTCCTGGGCCCCGTCGCGCTCCTCCCAGGCCTCGTAGCGCCCCTCCTGGGCTCTTTTGCGCCCCTCCTGGGCTCCGTAGCGCCCCTCCTGGGCCCCGTCGCGCCCCTCCTGGGCCCCGTAGCGCCCCTCCTGGGCCCCGTCGCGCCCTCCTTGGGCCCTGTAGCGCCCCTCCTGGGCCCCGTCGCGCCCCTCCCAGGCCCCGTCGCGCCCCTCCCAGGCCCCGTAGCGCCCCTCCTGGGCCTCGTCGCGCCCCTCCTGGGCTTCGTAGCGCCTCTCCTGGGCCCCCCGTCGTGCCCCTCCTGGGCCCCGTAGCGCCCCTCCTCGGCCGCGTCGTACCCGTCGCCGCCGCCCGGCCCCGTCGTGCCCGCCCGGCGCCGTCGCGCCCGCCCGACCCCGTCGCCGCCGCCCGGCCCCGTCGCGCCCGCCCGGCGCCGTCGCACCCTGCCCGGCCCGTCGCGCTCGCCCGGCCCCGTCGCAGCCGCCCGGCCCCGTCGCACCCGCCCGGCCCCGTCGCACCCTGCCCGGCCCCGTCACAGCCGCCCGGCCCCGTCGCACCAGCCCGGCCGACGTCCCGCTCGCCCGTCCCCGTCGCACCGGCCCGGCCCTGCCGCACTCGCCCGGCCCCGTCGCCCCAGCCCGGCCCCGTCGCGCCCGCTCGGCCCCGTCGCCCCGTCCCGGCCCTGTCGCATCAGCCCGGCCCCGTCGCGCCCGCCCGGCCCCGTCGGGCCAGCCCCGGCCCCGTCCTCCTCACTGGTACGGTTCCCCCCCCCCCCCCCCCCCCCCCACCCCGCCCTGCTCCGTGCCGCCCTGCACCGCACTGCACCGCACTGTACCGCACTGCACCGCACTGCACCGCACTGCACCGCACTGTACCGCACAGTACCGCACTGCACCGCACTGCACCGCACTGTATCGCACTTCACCGCACCCCACCTAGCTGCACCGCCTTGCACAGCACTGGACTGTTCCTGATGGCGGCGGAGCTTCGCTTCGACGCTGAAGGTCAGCCCCTAGAGTTCGAGGCGTGGCTTGCCGACCTCCGCCGCCAACTCACTGGCCAGCGGCAGGATGGTGAACCGCTTTCCGCACACCTTGACGGTACGCTCCCCTGCCCAGACCCTCCTGCTATTCTGCCCGCTGACCCCACACCCACTGAGCGTGAGTCTACTGCTGCCACTGCCCGTGCGCGCTCTGTCTGGCTTTCTCGCGATGCTGTCGCCCAGCTTGCCATTAGCAACGCCCTCCCCCCGTCCGAGCGTCCTCGCTTTAGGTCCCTCACTACTGCTCAGGCATACTTAGATGCTGTCATCAAGCGCTATTCCACCCCTCCGGCTGCCTCGGTGGGTCGCCTGATCCTCCCGCTGCTCTTTCCTGACCTTGCTTCGTTCCCCACTGTCTCTGACCTCGCTGCCCACCTGCGCTCGATAGAGGAGACCTGGCGCGCCGCATGCACTGACGCACAGCTTAGAGCCCACCAGCCGCCCATTACCTCTACCCTCTACCTGCTTGCCACCCGCCTCCCTGACCGCCTTGCTGTCGCCCGCGACCGCTTCCTTAGTGTTCACCCCGCAGACCTCACCCTCACTGACTTTGTCGACACCCTGACTGTGATAGAGACCCGTCACCGCTTCATCGCCCAGGCGAGCGGTGTCGTGCCGGTCCCTATCTTTCAGGGTTGTGCCCCCGCTCAGTGTACCTTCTCCGACGGCTCTGCCGCAGTGGCTGAGACTGCTGCTGCAGCGCAGGCCCGTTCTGGGAAGGGCCGCCGCCCCAAGGCTGGGCGCGGCGGAGGGGGCGGCGGGGGTGCGGGCGGGGGTAGTGGTGGGGTCGGGTCGCCTGGTGCTGGAGCGGACGAGGGGACCCTGCCCAGTCCAGCTGAGTCGCCGCCCCTGCAGTTGCAGCAGCCGCAGCAGCCGCCGCAGTCGCAGCCTTCGCAGCAGCCGCAGCAGCCGTCGCAGACGCGGCAGACGAGTGTTCTCCCGCCAGGGTGGCCCGGCGCTGGCGGTGGACGGGCGCGTGGTGGTGTGCCGCGTGGTGGCTCTGCCGGCGGGCGTTGTCAGTACCAGATCCAGACCGGTCCTCGCCGCGGTTTCGTTTGCGGTAAGATCGGTCACTCCACTCCCTGCTGCTTTCGTCGCCTGGACGACCTCTTTCGTCAGCGTTTCGGCCCGTCGCCAGACCTCCCGGACTGGCACAGTTTGCTTAGTCGTCAGATTCAGATCTTTGATATGGACATGGATGCCATTGTTTCTGCTCTGCATGTGATGTATGCTGATGACTCTAGTGTGCTTCCGACTTATTACTCACTGTTGCCTAGTGTAGGTGTGCCTAGCTTAGCCTCCCCTGCTGCGTCAGGCGTAGGATCCCCTGCTTTGTGTAGTCTTGGTGCTTCTGCCGTCGTTCCGTCGCCAGACCCCTCGGCTTCGCTTTCCTTCACCTTGGACTCTGGCGCCTCTCGGTGTTTCTTCCGCGACTCCACCACCCTGACGCCGCTTCCTGTTCCTGCTGCCGTTTCTCTTGCTGACCCCTCCGGCGGTCCGGTAGTCGCCCGCAGTTCCACCACCCTTCCTTGTCCCGCGGTTCCTTCGGGCTCTCTTACAGGTCTGCATATCCCCTCGTTCTCCAGGAACCTAGTTGGTGTCGGCTGCCTCCAGGACCTTGGCGTCACCACTACGTTCCCTGGTCACGAGCGGTATGCTGTCTGTACCGAGGCCGCCACTGGTGCCCCCCTGTCCACGTTCCCCCGGGACCCGGTGTCCGGCCTGTTCACTCTGGACACCGTGCCCCCCCCGGCTGGAGCGCCCCCTCAGGTGGCTGTGTCTACCCAGGTTGCTGCTGCCTGCTCCTGTCGCTCCCTCACTCACCCGACCCTCCTGTGGCACCACCGCCTAGGTCACCCTGCGCTCCCGCGTCTGCGTCACATGTCCCAGCACGGTCTTGTCCTTGGTCTCCCAGGTTCACTCCCCGCGTTTCCCTCCTCCCCAGCTCCACCTTGCACGCCTTGTGTCGAGGGTCGGCTTCGCCGTGCCCCTCACTCCTCCTCGTTCCCCCCTACCGCCGCGCCGCTGCAGACCCTGCACCTGGACGTCTGGGGCCCCGCCCCCGTCCCTGGGCCGCGTCGCGAGCGCTACTTCCTTGTGCTTGTCGACGACTTCACTCGTTACACCACAGTCTTTCCCCTGGAGCGCAAGGCCGACGTGCCTGGCGCCCTCATCCCCTGGCTTGTCTCTGCGCGTGTCCACCGCGGTCTCCCTGTCTTGCGTCTTCACTCAGACCGTGGTGGCGAGTTTGCCTCAGGTGTCCTTGGTCGCTTTTGTCGTGCGGAGGGCATCACCCAGACGTTCACCCTACCGGACTCCCCACAGCAGAATGGGGTCGCTGAGCGACGCATCGGCTTGGTCATGGAGGTCGCTCGCACCTCCATGGTCCATGCCGGTGCACCCCATTTTCTGTGGCCGTTCGCTGTGCGCTACGCTTCTCACCAGCTTAACCTGTGGCCGCACCCTCAGCAGCCGCAGGTTTCGCCGACCCGCCTGTGGACTGGGTCTCCTGGTGACGCGTCTGCGTTCCACGTCTGGGGCTGCCTTGCTCACGTCCGTGCCTCCGGCACGGACAAGCTCACTGCCTGCACCCTTCCCTGCGTCTTCCTCGGTTTTCCCCTTGACGCGTCCGACTGGCACTTTTACCACCCGCCGTCTCACCGCTTCTTTCACTCTCGTGACGTCACCTTTGACGAGTCCGTCTCCTACTACCGCCGCTTCCCCCACCGTGGTCCCCCGGTTACCCCCCCCCTGTTCCTGGTCACCCCTTCCCCGGTAGTCCCTGCCCCTCCTCCTCCTCCTCCCCGTCCCGCCCCCTCTGGTGTCTCCCATGTCACCCCCCTTCCGTCCGTGGACCCGGTTGAGGAGTCTTCTGACTCTGGTGGCCCTCCGGTGCAGTCCTCGCCGGCCGCCCCTCCCCAGGTGTCCCCTCCCCAGTCCCCTCCTCCGCCGTCCCTGCCGCCACTGCAGCCGTCGCCGTCGCCGCCGCCGCCGCCGCCGCCGCAGTCGCAGCCCCCGTTCGCTGACTCTGGGGGTGCTCGTCCCGGTCGCCCTGAGGGTGGTCCCTCTGGGGGTGCGGGTGTGGAGAGTGCCGGTGGTAGCCGAGGAGCAGCTTGCGGTCCAGGTGTCGCCGTTGTGCCGCCGCAGCAGCAGTCCCCGCCGGTGTCCGCCCTTCGCCTGCTCGGCCTTCCGTCCCC